TGCGGATCGGAAGGTCGTCGGTTCGTTCCCTGGCGAACCTTTTTTTTAAAAAATGACCTTAGCTCTCAGGTCGAGCCAGCCTGAGTGGGTTTCAGATGTAGTCATGGGAAGTAAAGGCGGCCGGCGTAATGCTGAACACATCACCTATCTTGTGCCGATTGGTCTATAAAATATAGGTCTAGCCCTATATGCCCTATACGCTTAAGAGCGTGGAAAAGAGTCCTTTACTTAGTACTTTTTACAGTGAAAGACTGTTCATGACCGAAGCCTCTTCGTACTAAGTAAAGAAAAAAGTATTGTCAGACTGTTAGTACTGTCTGTGGTTATCATTGCTGGGGTGTAGACTGTACGGTCTTTGAGACTGGAAACTTAAGACCTCGTGGCTAGTGCTATCACCATGAACTGTGCTGGTAAGGGTTATTATTTTGCCTGCGATTAAAAAAAAACGTCCATCCCTTACTGGGGATTAAACCCGGGATCTTCCACATGAGAGGCCAAGGTTCTTAATCGTTTGGTCAGCCGCTGCTCATACAGTAGTTGCAGTTTATTCCATGTAGGATTGCAGACCGCAGGATTAAAACATCAAGGATGAGAATGATAATCCTGGCACAGTGTTAAATTAGGTCAACGGTTGTATTTTTGCAAAGTATTAGGAGCCTTCGTTTGAAACCTTTCCGTGTCGCACTGTGCGTAATTGCGTGCTTTGGGACAGTTCCAAGGGTTGTTTCTGAGAAACTGAATTATTGGAATGTGTATTCACAGAGGGTACTACGGATCTTGACTGACCACCAAAATGGGAAACACATGGTTCGGCGAGCAATCCCAATCCTTTTTTTTTTTCGGGGCCTACCTAAACAATAGGATGCTTACCTAAATAGCTACGGCGACTTTTTCTGACCAAACCATGGCGCATAATTAATTCACGATGAATACTTTGGTTTAGTCCTGCCACATTTGATGTTTATTTCATGTTTATAAGACACTGGGACGGGTTCGAAACGGAACACTCCTTTTAAATGTTCACACACAATGGTTTGGACACCTAACAAGAATGCCCTGGTACATCTGCCACAGCGAGCCCCACTAAAACGTTACAACGGGTATAGAGCAAATGGAAGACCTAGGAAACTATGGAATGATGGCATTAAGAACAGCCTTACAGAAATGAACAGCAATCTTAATAGTGCTCTTTGCAGAGCTCATCAACGAATGTTACATCCCCTCCCCCCCTCCTCCCCACCCCCTCCCCCCGACACTTCGCTGAGGAACAATGGAGAAGAGAAGAAGAAGACACATTATTGACATATGTTTTCTTTTTATCTTCAGAATTCGCTAAATTCATCGCTGCTCCATTCGGCCAGTAAAAGACCAGGCTAAGATACGTCAAAAATCTATGTGATGTTGACTCTCAATGAATGTGAAGGTTTTGTAAGGAGTCTCTCGTAATTTTGTTCTTTTCAAATATGTTCTATTTCAATTTTACACTGTCCTATTGTTGTACGATGTATGCAGCTATTTCTGTAATCTCCCACATTTATTTCGACACAACATTCATTTGCTTTGCTTCTGTTCTACACGATATTGCCCTAACCTTATACATATGCACACAATGGTGCCTGGATCTCATACTTTTGTACATGTTACCTCAAACTTATAAATGCACACCCAGAGTCGATGTGATCTCAAATATATCTATATATATATATTTGGATTAGATAAAATGTATTTAATCTCATACTTTTATACCGAATGTTGCCTTAATCTCATATATGTGTGTACGCAATGTTGACTTAATCTCGTACATGTATACGCAGTGTTGACCTAATCCCATACATGTGTACGCAATGTTGACCTAATCTCATACATGTGTACACTATCCTGTCTTAATCTCATACATGTGTACACAGTGTTGTCCTAATCTCATACATGTGTACGCAATGTTGACCTAATCTCATACATGTGTACGCAATGTTGACCTAATCTCATACATGTGTACGCAATGTTGACTTAATCTCGTACACGTGTACGCAATGTTGACCTAATCCCATACATGTGTACGCAATGTTGACCTAATCTCATACAAGTGTACACTATCCTGACTTAATCTCATACACGTGTACACTATCCTGTCTTAATCTCATACATGTGTACACTATCCTGTCTTAATCTCATACATGTGTACACTATCCTGTCTTAATCTCATACATGTGTACACTATCCTGTCTTAATCTCATACATGTGTACACAGTGTTGTCCTAATCTCATACATGTGTACGCAATGTTGACTTAACCTCATACAAGGGTAAAAAGCTTCGCCTTAATCTCATTTGTGCACAACGCTTTTTTAATTTCAATTTAATAGATTCGTACACAAAGTTGACTTAATTTCGTGCATCTGTACACAATGTTGCCTTAACTCAATACATTTGTACAACACATGACTTTCTTGAGTGAACATGTTCACAAAGCAATACAATAATTTAAACAAAACGAGACAAGCCCGCGCAACTTTCACAAAATAACTTTCTTCTTGGTGTCAACTCGTGTACACGAAACAATACATCGATCTGGTTGTACCTGAAACAAGGCTACTGTGCAGTAAGAATGTTATTCTCTAGGTGGTTGCAGCAACTCAATGGTCGCCAGTCCAGCATACACATGCTAGTAAAGCTAAATGGACTAAACAAAAAACTGTCAAGAACTTCCTGACTAAAAAGCTGGGAAAGAAAGGCTCAAGCTGGCTTCCAAATACTTGAAACAGACAACAGAACAAGTCAATAATGTTCGGTCTTCATCTTTTGACAAGAAATGCTAAATACAACATAAAATGCGACTAGAAAGTTTGACATTCATTGGACGTTTCAGCAAATTAGGTTATTGTAACCATGGACCAGGTGTGAACAGAGCAACAGAAGCCATGTTAGTATAAAATAGAAACTAGTTCTTTTCCAGTACACTTGTGATGTTTACCCACCTTAGGACAAGTGGATCTAAGACAGGTCTATCAGTCAATCAACCAATCAATCTTCTTCTTCACTTTAAATCTGGCAAAAAGTTATGGTTGTTCGTCCACTTCTGGACTGTAGTCCCGTTCCAGAACCGGAGCGTTGAGTGTGCATCCGTTTTACAGACCTGATGTATGCAGACTTTTGGTTCCTTGTCTCTCAGGCAGATGCACTCCGAACTCAATCAATCAATCAATCAGCACGCCCTTTACAGATTGTCGTTCTCTTTAGGGCACGACAAAGTCTCTCTTTCTCTTGCAAATTTTCCAGCCCTATGTGCTTTTCTAGCCAATGCATCTTCATTGTCCTGTATCCACATTCGCATTGGTCGGCCTCTGCCTTGTACCTACCATCACCGTGTTCTCCAGACCACCAGGTAGTCGCTTGTGGTGGCTCGTGTGGTAACTCGTGTGTTGGGTGATCTCAATCCGAGACGGTCACGTGCATGTCCTGAAAAAGGCAGACACGGTTTGGATGCATGACAGGAGAAACATGGAAGTCGTGATCCGGGTGAATTCGTTGTCGACTCTTTCGATACTAACCAACTCACCACGCGGGTATTCAATACTCCGTACATTTTCAGCTTTCTTTAACCTGTTATGCTTCACACTATTGTTGAATTGAAATCACTTGGGGAGGGAATAGAACTTTCAATTCTTCCTAAAAAGTCTATCAATTAAGACAAGAAACATAATTCTCAAAAGCTATAGACTCCTATCCTGCTATATTGAAGTGAATCAGGGACAGTCAGTCGATTAGTAAAAAAAAATATTTGGAAGCTACGGAGATGTAGTTTTATATAAATGACAGATATCAAGAGTCACGGAGATGTAGTTTTATATAAATGACAGATATCAAGAGTCACGGAGATGTAGTTTTATATAAATGACAGATATCAAGAGTCATGGAAATGTAGTTTTATATAAATGACAGATATCAAGAGTCATGGAGATGTAGTTTTATATAAATGACAGATATCAAGAGTCACGGAGATGTAGTTTTATATAAATGACAGATATCAAGAGTCACGGAGATGTAGTTTTATATAAATGACAGATATCAAGAGTCATGGAGGTGTCTTGAAAGAGACTGACTCGCGAAGAGAACTGATTACACACACTCGAAGGAGATAATCTACATTCCTTGATCATGGCATGAGAAGAAGAAAACTGGAGAACATCGTGATGGTAGGAAAATTGGAAGGGGAAAGAGTCAGAGGCAGACAGAGAGAGAAGACGATGAACAGTCTGACATTATGGCGTGAAAGATCATCTGTGTCAGAAATGACAAAGTACACGACAGAAGGCTGGTGGGTAGACATGACAACTAACGTGACACGGTATGACCTATATGAAGAAGGAGAAACCTATATTTTCAGTCACTTCATATTTATTAATGTGTGCTGTACACTCAAACATCTTATATTGACATCTTAAAAGATCTGAACATCAAGGAAGATTGGCTAATAAACAGCATCCTTTCTCAAAAGCTGAAATATTTTGGTCATATTAAGCGCCACGACGGATTGGAAAAAAATTATAACAGAAGGCATGGTACCAGGAAGGAGGGGCAGAGGCCGACCGACACGAAGATGGGCACAGGATATAAGTGACTCCTTGAGTGGGGAAGTTCATGAGGCGGGAGAACTGGCAAGAGACCGAGTTTCTTACAGGCAGACTGTGATGAGAGCGACGTTCTGCAAAGGACCTGCTACATGATGATGATGACACTCACACGATTGTTGGTACCATCGAAATCGGAACTCTCCACTTGCTGCTGAAGATAGGGGTTGGAGCGCTTATGGGAGTGTCCCGAGTGCTATGATGTTGATTCTTAATTCAACATTCATTATCATGTAGGCTATTCTGTTCCATGTGGTTTTCTAAATCCGTTTTATCCAGACGGAAATAACTGTAATGAGTAACAGTTAGAGCAGGGGACTTACTGACAATCAGAAACCTGCCAATAAAGAAAAGAAAAAAGGGGGGGGGGGGGGGGGGGGCGGAGGGGGCATTTCTACAAGATCTTGGTCAAACAAACGTTAGTCTCCCCACAGAAAGTAGGTCACATTCCATTGATAACTGCCGCTCTCTTGTTTGCTTTCTGGGATGTCTTATATTTACTTTTTTTTTTAATTCAGAGAAAGAATGCATGTGACATAGAGGTTTCATCACCCTCTAAAGGGGTTTTGTGTTAGACCCGGTTTGTCGATGTTTTCGTAGTGTTAAAGGCGCTGAAAAATAGACCAAGCGATATCAACGGCAGGAAGGGGGGGGGGCGCGCGGAGACACCCTGGTCACCTCGTGCCAAGGCGTTTAGCTCAAGGTCGACCAATCAGAAGTGAGCAAGACTGAAGGTCTACCAATCTGTAGTGAACTAGTGTGTATATGGGTGGTCTGCAGATACTGCAGCCTAGCTGTGAACCACAACATCAATCACCAGCTGTCTTTTGAAGGGCAAATGCAGGTCATTTGTTTTTCTTGTTAAACTTGATCTCCAAGAAATGATATGGATAGCAAAGTCAGCCAGCACAACACCCCCAATCACCCTTTAAAGCGAGGAGAAGAAGACAGTTAGTTGAGGTTCTGACATAACTGCAGAAGGGTCTTCAATGGTAGCACACCAGAATTTCAGCTCACTGTTTGTGAGAACAATCAATCAGGTTATCAGTCCAGATATCGAAAACAAGAAGAAGAAGGCAGAGGAGGAGGAGGCCTCCACAGCAGCAGCAGAAACCACATAATACAACAACAAAACAAAGCCAAGCTCATTATTGTTTAATTTTAAAACATGGTGTCACCAAGCAAAATAACATATCCAAAAAAAAAAAAAAAAAAAGGATAAAATACAGCACAAGAACATTCACCAACACCCATTCAGCCAGCCCAAGTACACAGATGTCTGGAATCAAATGTTAGGGGACTACAGACTTCCAGGCCCATGTCCCAAGTTTAGAACAGTAGTTTTCAATCTTGTCTTATTACGACTTTTGCGTTCACATATATAAATTATCCAATCACTAGCCAGGCAGCCCTCAATCCTCAGACTCAAGGCCCCCTTGTCTACAGTGCCCTAAAATGTGGTCAAACAGACAGCAGTCACAGTTATCAATTATCCAACATCCCCATGAACGCTACTCTTCTTCTATGACCACCCTAAGAGCAGCTGGCATGTTATGTTGTGGTTTACAGCTAGGCTGCAATAAATATCTACATCTTTCTGCCCAACACATCTAATTTCAGCAAGTTCTCAATAAGTCATCCTTTACAATATGACTGTTGAGCAGCAGTGAGAGAGTCTCTGTTGAGCTGAACTAATGACTGTGTATGAAAACATGTTTCCTGAGGCCTATTTACATT